TGCGGGTAAGGGCTTACCGCCAATGACATGCCCATGTTAAAATAAGGCCTTCTTGAAGCGAAAGAGTAAGCGAAATCCAGTCAACCAGCAATTCCTTTGCCCCATGTCTGGTATGGGTTGCGCTTGTCACCCACCCAACAGCAATGTTGAACAAGGATTCTGTTGAACGTTTGTATTCGCTCTTCGATTCCAGCTACGCTCGTTTGTGGAATCGTGTTTTTTGCTGGGTTGCGTTGGCCAAATCAAAAGAGCGTTTAAAAACAAAATTAGTCTGTAAAGTCAAAGTTTTTGATTTAAGTTGAAACCACTAAAGCGCAGTATCCTCCTCACACATAGGCCAATAATAGTAACGCTGTGATACCATATGGAATACCAATCCCTTTTGGTGTCATGAGCTTTACTGATGGTCTTATTTCCACCTTTTTGTATGATCTTTCAACTACAACATTGGTGCGATGCATATGCCAATAAAAGTTCTTATAGGGAAACTCAAGAGCACAGAAGTGCGTTTTCTTTATACGAGGGCCAAGAATCCTCGCTGTCCCACAGGATGAAAGTTTTCCGGTACATTGCTAAATGAGTCGTGTGATCTCTTAAGTATCTTTCAAATGAAGCAACTGATATACCTGCGGTGATCTTTCTTTGTTAATTCACCACTTTTACAATTCGTGGTAAAATTTATGAACTGATTTCTGGGTAGATGCAAGACCGCATGATTGTGCGTCAGAAAAAAACTTAACCCCATCCTTCATTTAGACATCTGAAAACTAAATTCGTATAACTTAAACATAGGTCCAAAGCAGACCAACCACACGGGGTTTCTATACATTTCGGATGCAGCGCCATCCATTGGGTTCATTTTCTGCAAAACCATTGCTTACCATAAAATGAATACGTGTTATGGATTTCAACCTTAACTCCAGCGGCAGTAATCGGTTAAATTTGTATCAAAAGAATTTTCCATCATACAGGTACATAGCTCACATTTAAAATTTGAACAAAATCGGTTAATAAATACGATTTTTATAAATAACTCTACTCCAACACCACCTAGCAAGTTTTCTAGTAGCATGTAATTGGACCATATATGTATGTGAGATAACCTCCGAC